CCTCTCATTTTTGAGAGGGTTTTAGTGCAAGATAATGTCCACCGCGCTGCCCCAAACGTGTTGCGGACCTCACATGTCTTAAAATATATTTTGTTTTAATTCCTCAGTCACGCAGGTTTCTTCACGATGTTTTCCTTCACTGCCGAGCACGTGGTAAACGATGCAGATATGGTAACCTCCACTCAATTCGTAGTTCAATAACTACCCTATACAAACATTTTGACAACTTACACTTATGTACTTTTAGATTTTTAAAATTTTGATGTTTGGCAGTTTAGGAGTTAGACTTTTTAAATAAATTAAACACAATCTCCGTATAATAATGTAATTTTATTTTTAAATAAATATAACCAATAACATTTATTACATCACAGGAGTAGGGTATCATAAAACACAATTCATGTTTGTCGCGAATACACAACGATGACAGTTTTTAATTATCCGAACATAAATTTCTTCCAGTGCTCATTTTATTTATGCGCGGACAAGAAAAAAGTCCGTTATTTTATCAATTGACATCCCTTATAAATAAGATTAACCTATAAAATAAAATTATTACGTGTATACAAATAGCAATAAAGGGAAATTATCAGGTTTTTGCTACTCTACACTACTAAACTTTTGTGCGGAATGACGGACGACACAGTTTCCTTTGCTTGTTATTATTTTTTAAATTAATTTAGTTATGCTGGCTCTGCATGATCGTCCACTTCCAAGCGCTTGACCGAATACAAAAGAACTCGTTGGTACCAAAACCAGGCTTCCGTATAGATCACGCAAAATTTAAAATACCTTGTTGAAAAAGAAGAGAGTGGATTCTAACCAGATAATTAAATACAGAAATCTGCTAATAAAGTACGTGAATACTCTAACTCACAAGAAACCCGTGTAATTGTTACTTTAGCTCGAACGCGATGATAATTCGGACAACTTAGCTTGGAAATCAGCAGTGTTGGCATTAAATTGACACCACATTAATGAAGACAAATTTTGCCAACACCTATCGATCATAAATCTGAATATACTCGTCGCATCCACCACCTGCGATTTCGCGTGGGACAAATGTGTAACTTTACGTTGTTTAAATTGAAGACCAGTTAATGATTTAGGTACCCCAGGTTCGCGCCAAAGTTTGAGGTATTGTCTGGTGCCAGCACAAATTTTATTGTTTAATATGACGTTTGCATTATAAATCCCACATAATTAAAAAGTAGTCTTGGTATGAAATGTCATAGGTATATTAATATGGTGTTAAAGGCCATAATTTACATACATGTACATACGTATATCTTTAAATAATTGTTTCTTTTTAATAGGCCGGATACAATGTGTTAATTAAATATATTTCGTTGAAATCTGTATGCCGCAGTCATTTTTACTTTATAAATCGGCGCATTTTACATCTTTATCAACTTAAAGTGAACGTAACCGATTGTAACATTTTTATTTTTTTATTTACCTTAGGGCGAAACTAAACAATATTCACATGAGTTATATTTAGTGGAAATACAAATCCACTATTTATAATTTTACGATCAGACATTATTAATATTTTACTATAATAATATTTTGAAATACATTTCAATGCGCTATTTTCTTGTATTGTAATAGAGTTTAAGAAATTTTGTTAATTTGTCTGTATACGAGAGAGCATAAAAGAAATGAGCGCGCCAAATTGTATTTCTGATACAATTTACGAAATCTAAAGATATGCATAACTAGAAACAGGTTAATAGTTCATTCTACGGCTAAATACACTTTTTTACAATTCGTAATACATTTAAGCGAAATTTCTAAGTCGTTTTTTTATTCGTTAACTATAAAATTACTTTCGATTTAAAAATGTAAAAACGTTAATCGCCATTTTAAGGTTTTGGTTTTTTTAAGTGACATAATGCTGATAGTTTACGACCTATGCTTCGGCTTCGGTCATCTTCGGCAAAAAAAAAAACCTTTGGCGAAACGATCGGCTTCAGCCAAAATGGAATGAGCGAGAGAGCGATGGACTTGGTGACGCATTTTTTTTCATCTCCCGATTGACTTCTAGAGATGATTAAAATTACCTTTTTATATTATACAGTCAAAATAAACATTTCATTTAAACGTTTAAAAACCATTTATATTATTCCAATCTTGGAATGAATTTCTTAGGGTTCGGTTTCGGCCAGAAATTGGCCTTCAGTCGGACACTACATATTGGTTTCTGATTGCATACATGTATACATTGACTGTGTTGCCACCCAAAATTTGTGATAAATTAATAAGAAAATGTCAACCTGGTTTAATAAATATTATTACTTTACAAGTCATTTTTTTCTGTCTTTTAGTAACAATTAAAATATTAAAAATAATACACATAAAGAAAATCACAATCAGATATATTATCTCGTGGATATATCAAAGACCCATTTTGTTTGTCCAAAGGCCTGACAACGATCGCAAATAACCACAATAGATTATTGTAAATTGTTCCAGCGTACGTCAAGATGATTTGTTCTATTGTGTACTTAACAGTACCTGTGAAATCGCATAAATAATTTTGACAGGTCAATTGTGAATGATTACTTAAGTGTTGCCCTCTCTTTTGTTATGCTTCGTTCTTAGTTATTTATGAGCTTGGATGGAGACATTACAAAAACATTCACTATTTTTTAAATATCACATGAGAAAATTATTTTATAGATCAAAAATTTATGCTAAAGGCTTTTATTAAGAAATTTAAAAAAATATTGCAAGACACATTTGTAAGTTTTGTTTATTAGAATAAAAGAAAAGATATAAGTAAGTGAACATATTTTTTGCTACAAAATGTTCTGTTAATATTGTGTTAATGTTTCTATAGAAATCTAACATCTAACTTTATAATTTCATTGTGTGTTAAATGGCGCTTTTATTTGTACATATTTAAAACGAAAGTTACTAATTATTATATTGTGAACTTAGTAATGCTAATAATACTGTACACACCTCCATTTAGGCAATGATATATATTGTTCGAAAGGTTACGTACTATCATGTTAACCTTTATTAAATATCTGTGAATAGACTCTAAAAAGTGCGTACAGATTATGTACACAAATAAAAAACTTTGGCAAGAACGTTTTATGATTTTTGTGACCAACTAATTTCAAATTATCGTTGTTAACTTAAACAGTACAAGAGTCTATTAGCTAATTGATAAATAAATCCGTAAGACTTATAGTACAAGTATTATACTTAATAAATGAGGTACGTCAAACCACTGTGACTATAATTCGCGGTGATAAATTTTCGATATATATTGCCCTATCTTCTATGTACAATATTGGCTTTGTCAAAGTATTTTCCAAGAAAAGTATTTTTAGTTTATATCAATTAAGAATTCTGGCTTGGATGCTTGCCTTTAAGCCATGTCTTAATTTCATTCGGGATCGTCGTTTTTATAGATTTTTCTTCACAACATGCTGATGCATTACATTGTTGACTGTCGTCTCCATGCCCCATGAGACATGTAGGGTTCGGGCCTCGGGGTATGCCCCCATTACCCGTGCTATCCTCGCGGTCCACCACTATGGACCGGTCCTGAGAGCCTTCTAATGGCATTGTAGGTGTATTATGCATTACATTGCGAAATTTTTGGGAGATTTTGACGACAGCTCAACCTAGCGGACAGTCGACGACGACAATCACCTAAGTTCAAAAGGCGCCTAAGCGATCAAAATAACTAAAATGAGGTTTATATCAACATCGAAGCATTTGTTACGTCGCTTTCTCTAATAGATCACATGCGCAGTCACATATACAAAATCGCATCACTATTACGTATCAAAATCTACTTAAAATCATTATTTAAACAATAAAATAGGAGCAATCCATCGAAGGTCAAATTCCCGCCAAAACTCCAAATATTTTTATATATCAATAAAAGATACAAATTAGAGACGGTAACAATCATGGGTCATACTCTTATGTATTGTACTAGGAGCAATCAATTAGAATACCCGTTCGATTATTGAAGCTTTTTATGTTCTTGTAAATCGTATAATTTTAAAAATACACTGACATGAACAAACATTGATCTACAAATAAATAAGCACTCTCTAATCTTATATGGCCTACAGTTTCAAAATAATTCTTTTTTTGGCAATAAAAAACGACATTTATACCGATTCGCATTGATGTAAAAGAGTAGAGTAGTATCATTATTATTATTGATATATTTATTGTTAATAACAAGCATTAAATAGATCTCTTTTCTTGGCAAATACTTGACTTATTTAGCCCATTGTACTTAAAACATTATTAACATGTATTTAATATAAACTAACAATCATACAAAATGCGGCAAATGGAACGAAACTTAAATTACCTATTCTAAATTTTATGTTGAAAGGTAAATAAATAATAAAATATTTTCGTCAATATAGACACAAAATTTAAATGATTGTTATTTCTGAAATTATTAACAGAGTTAAAAAATATCCCATTACTATATTGACGACTGTACATAGACCCTAACAAAATCCTAGGAAGGAATAGTTGCTTAAGTCACAAGACTCGTAATTTTTGGTAAATAACAAAGAATTATATTCAAAGAATTGAACAAAAATCTCAATTTAAATCGATATTCATATTTATCATTGAGAGGGCTGTCATCTATTTCCCGCCATTTCTGAGAACTTGCTACTTTTGCGTTTACCATTTTCCAAATCGTTGCACCGAGGAGCCTTAAATGTAGAATACTTTTTTATATTGTGACTTACTTTATCAACTAAATTTTCCATTTAATATAATCTAACTTACACGCGACTAGGTTAAATTTAACGGCATTTATTAATGAAAAATCTATTTTATTTAACGTAATCAATGGCAGTAACATTCGAAATTACTTATCAATTCACATTTTGCACGGAAAGTAGACGGAATATAATATGCTTTGTTTAGATATATTAGAATCTTCGGTGTATTGTTTTTTAAAAGACTGTTCTCGGGGCTTCATTTTTTTCCAAGATGGCGCCCAGCTAATGACAGTTGATAGCACGCCGCTGCAAGCGACGTATGCGCCTGTGCCAATCATCGCGCCATTCCAGTAGTAAAGTTCTCTCTCCAACCATTAAACCTGGCAAACCAGATGACGCTCCCTCTTTTTCCACTCCTAGGATTAGGTAAGACCTGTGAAAATAAGACCTGCATTAAGAGGATACCACGAGAACTTGTGGGATTTTTGGATGTTTGTATCATGATACTGGTAGAGACACGTTGCAGCTATAATATCAATGTAGCACTATTGGGTTAGCTCAACCGGGATAGGACCACGCTCTCACAGAATACCAGCGTATAATAGCAGTTTAATGCAGCTGTGTTTCGTATGGTGAGTATAGAGAACCGGATACCCTTTTTACTGAAAACGAGGCATTCCATCTTAGCCCTCAGCGGTGAATACTGACAACGCATCTGCATTTTGATTCTTAATTGAGGATAAATGTGGATGTCTATGGGTCACAATTTTCACTTAACATCAGGTGGACTAAAAATGATAACAATAATATGAATTTTATGAACTTTCAAGGTTAGTCTATAATGTCTACACTGTCGCGACCACAGGATGACAACACTGTTAAATCAAATATGAGGCTATTTTAATCTAATATCATCATAAAAGGAACAATTTTCAAATTAAACAAAGACTGCTTCGTAGTGCAATGGTTTACAAACAATTGTTACGGATATGGATGTGTGTCCACAAGGACACACAGCAATTTATTTATTAGAATATGTACATTTAAATGGTTGATTGGAGAACAAACATCCAAACAAACATACATCAAGAATATTTTATCATCTATATATAGTACCTGAGAGTAATATGGTCATCCGGTTCATATGGTCAGTTTCTTATATAAATTAATATTAACACAAAAAGTTTGCATAGATGGATCTGTGATACGATAGCTCCTCATCATGCAATGAAATTATGAAAGGTCAAGAGGGCGCTGCTTTCTCGGTGCAATTTTAACAGTTGACGTATAAATATTTTAGTCGATTTTAGTATTGTGTGGTGAAGTAAATTTTTTTAAGTAGATTTTTCGAAGTGTATTTTATAATTAATTAATTAATTACCTAATTATTGCTAAAGCTTGTTTACTATTTTTTCGTTAATATATTAGTTATGGTATACGACTTTGTGTTTTTGTCTCTGTCCTTCTCCTGGTTTTGGTTTTATAATGCCGCAAAGCTTAAAGTAACCATTAACCCCCACGTACCTTATTCGTGTAAAAAAATTGAAGTGTCTATCTGTAATATTGGAATAACTGGCTTCTATTAAGCTCAATGTGTTACATGGTTTGATTCCTATTGGGACATAAATAGCCATTTTAATAAATCTCAGTCTATCTGTCTCTTTGTTCGTCCGCGCCAATTCGAACACATGCGATTACACACGACACACACGTTAATCCCAATAAGCTCTCGGGTTATGTGAGACGACTGGGACTCAAAAAAAGAAAAAAAATAGATATATGTATTCATAGTATTCATACTGTCCTATGAGCACTGATTCAATACTACAGAGGGACAATTAAATTTCATTTATATGTGTGTGTAGATGTAGCTATACATAATTGCATGCATAGAATTGTTAGCAAAATTATTATAAGCATAGATTATACAGGGTTATTTTGCAATAACCGGCCCAATTTCCAGTAGAGGTTCAGAATCACTAATCACTAATTTGCTGTAAGCAAATGGTGAATAAATATTAATTTAAAATATCTCAAACATTTCGTCCTTTATATCCTTTAAATTTAAAATGCGTGAAAATGCATTAGTTTAAATGTTTTACTGGGCACGCAGACATTCGTAATGGTCGATCGGTTGGCAAAAACATTGTTGCCCATAAATAACATTCAATTTGGGATAATTTCAAATAAAAGTAGAAGTCCTATTTACTCGTATTTTCAAAAACTCAATAGTGGTATATCATTATTTATGAACTCAGTTTAAAATTTAGTTAGTTGAAAAACAGGTAACCATATATAGTGTAGTGTATTGTACAGTGTAGTGTAGTGCATAGTGTAGTGTATACCTTAATATATATAAATTACGTGTCACGTTGTTTGTCCGCGATGGACTTCTAAACTGCTCAACCGATTTTAATCAAATTTGCACACCGTGTGCAGTTTGGTCCAACTTGAGAGGTAGGATAGTTTTTTTGCTCATGAGTGACCCACAATTTTTTTTTGCGAATTTAAGGATTTTAATAGGACACGACAAAGGGTCTTCGAAAAGGGCAGAACAACGTCTGCCTGGCGAGCTAGTTGTAGTGTATAGTGTTGTATAGTGTATAGTGTAGTGTAACGCAGTGCCTAGTGTAGTGTGGAACCTAGTGTAGTGTATATTGTTTAAATTTATGTTAGTGTTTGGTGTAGTGATAATGAAGGTTAGTATAGTGATAATAAAGGTGTGAGTTACTTGTTAATCTTGATCTTGGGGCACTTGCAGGCGAGGTCGGCGGCGCGCACGTAGAGGGCGGCGGCGCCGCGGCGAAGGCGACTGCGCGGCGCGCGCTTGTACACCGCCTGCACGCTCAGCGCCAGCCGGGCCCACGCGGTGCCCGCCGGGCCCGCCTCGCGACCTACCACCCGCGCCATTATGACTGCAGGGGAGGAGAAGAGGAATAGGATGCATTAGAAAACAACTTATCCACTCGTAGTCGGGGTCATTTTAGCCAATATGGCGCATCTGTCGAGCACTTGCCGAAGTACTTCCAGACTACTTCCTGCTGTTCATTAAAATGACTATTTACAATACATTTTGTATAAAAGGTATATTAAAATCATATATCAATGGAAACTTTATTAAATAAGCTATCAGATTATGTATAATTTGAATACAGGTTTACTTCGAAAGTGATACTAATTTGAAAATGAAAGTAAGAAAAGTGTTTTTGCCCCAATTTTCTGCAAAGGTGTAATAATTATAAATTAAAACCTTTATTCCAAGTACTATTTGTTTTACTTGTACGTCCAAAGCATATTTAATTACAAAAAAAAATATATAATTTTTTGTTTACGACAAGGTCGAGAAAGGCCTCACTTAGCTTTACTCGACATCGGGACAAAAAATAAGGAGGTTCACAAAAAACACATTATTAAATCAAATTTAGACAACACTTATCATTAGAGAAGTTGTAGTAGAGATATCTTTAAAGAAAAGAAAGAAATTAACATGTGATAACATTTAGAGCACTTACCGTAGTCTCGGCTGCAGTACTTGTTGAGATTTAGAGTTCGAGCGCCGGCGCGGCACCGGCCGCACTGGTCCGCTGCTGTTGCGGAAACCTCATGTCAGTTCGTATGTATACCACTTAGCGGTAATTTAAAAAAAAAATAAAAAAACTATCAACAGATAAAAAATAAACTATCAACAGATAAAAAATATAAGCTAAATCAAAATAAAGAACTTAAAACTGAATTTGGTAACGAAAATAAAATAAAATCTTCTGGGCTCAAACCTGAAGATAATTTCTATTGGGATGAGACATTGATTAATAACGATAATTAATAACTAACACGATCTAAACAACTGTTTTAATAATTAAAAGTGTTTTAATAACGAATATGAACTATGGGAACATGCAAAATGCAAAACAAACTAAATTACCTGATTCGGCACTTGATAATGTTAAACAAAAACAAAAGAATTAGGTAAATGAATTTTGGTATGGTGGTGAAATTTATAAAGAAGCCTGAAAACAAATTGTCCTTTATTATTCTAAACATTGATTAAACAAGTATAAAGTGCAAAATAAATTTCTAAAGAAGTGATAGTACCTTACTGTTCCAAGGGGAAAATAATGTTGCTGTGAGACAGCTAAAATTGGATAGTCAATAAAGATATTAATTTAGTTTCTGGAAGAAACACATGTTCTTAGTCATAACGGATGATATGATAAATATTTAATACTTTCTTACTATGCAATGATTATTAATCTAAATAGTATTTTGTAGCCCAGAAGGTCTTTAATTTATGGATCTTTAATAAAATATCGATAATAAAATTAACGGAATTTCAACGCTTCTCAATAGTATAAAAATATTTATCCATGTGGTGACAATCCTGTTGGTGACGTCAGAGGCAACTAAAATGGACTTAGATGAAATGCCTCAGTGTGTGATTATACTGGCTACCTTCAAAATGAAGCAGAATAGGTGCTCTGCTACTTGCTGATGGAAATGGTTAAGAGCATTGTACCCACTTAGTTGGTCTCTCAAAGGAATCCTATCAATTAATAAGCTATTAAACTATTGTTATACTGAATTATAATCTATGTTTAATACATACACATGTATCAAAATGTGTAGGTAAATATGATTACTTTTAAAGCATTATTTCACCAAGAATATTATATTACGTTAGTCGTTTCGAAGCGTTGGTCACGTCCAATTTTGTAAAAGGCTGTTTACTGCTATTGGGAGAAGTAGGAATTGAAAAGCAGTTTTTACATTATACAAGGTATAATCACTTCAATGGCGGGCACTCGTTCACGTTGTTACAATTAATCTGGTTGCTACATTAAAATAGACAGAAAATGATCAGAGTATTAATTAATATATAAATCCCGTAAAATTTCTGTTTTAGATCGAAACTCTCATTTCATATTGTCATACTCCAAATTCGATATGACTCCAGCCATTTAATTATGTCTGGTAGTTATTTAATTAGAGAAAAGTTCAATATTTATGTAGTTATATAAATATATATTTAAAACTCATACAATATCGTTATCATAATCTCTCACGCCTGTCACCCATTGAGGTAGGCAGAGACTACGTAGTACCATTTGGCTCGATCCTGACACACCTTTCGCTACTTTTACATCAATATATTAACGCATATATGCTCGTACGTTAAGGATACTCCTAATTTGACCCATATTTGATATATCACCAGTTTGGTCGATATACCTCTGTCTTCCGTTATGCTTAACTATTACGTTAAATTGAACCATGCAATAACATACTTTGATAGATCTTTTTCGAGAAAAACTAAGTTTGATCTTAATTTTTTCAGAAAAATATTTAGTTTTGTCAATTAAATTATTGATATATAGTTAAATATAGATTATATTACTACTCGTATTTTTATTGCTATATTATTAATAATCACTTTTGTCTTTATTATCAATAAGGAAATCTATTTCCGTCGAATGTGTGAACTTCTTTCGGTTTACCAGCTAAAACAAGTAGTGATGGTGCAAGTAAAATAAATTATATCGTCTAGAATTTTGAAGTCCCAGTTTAAGTTTAATTTTTTATTGGCAAGATTGTGCCATTTGTGAGAAGATCTTTAAACAAAATGGCGCTGTGTGTGAATTAGTGCCCGCCAGCATGCGGTGTGATGAGGCGAGAGTGCAATGAAGGTCCACTTACTACTTACCGCGGCCCGGCTCTGCATCCACCGCCTCCATCGCCTGGACGGCGGTCACTACGCGCGGAATGCCTAAATATATAGAAAAATATATTAGTTAGACATTCTGAAAGAAAGAGAGAAGTATTTATTTGATATACACAGTTTAAACAAAGAAATATACAAACGCAAATTCTAAGACTGCGACGCCCTTCTTACATTGTCGAACAACTAATGGGTTGGCGGATATCCACTCCTTTGTTATCAACATTCCACGCATTCGGGATAAATGCATCTTTTGATTACATTTTGGGTGGTTTCGAAGCAAGAGCGAATAGGTTTTTGCTATTATTGTTGGTTGGGAGATTGTAATTGTGGTAGTATTGGGATTATATCCAGAGCTACATCACCACTTATATACAGGTAGGATCGAGGTATTACTTACTTTAAGCAAGTGCTAAATTGCTTATAATAAATAAAAAAAGGATTGTATTGTAAGCTATATTAAGGATATTATGTTGCACCAAAATATAATATTTACTCAACGAAGTTTGCGTACCATATAACGTAATCTTTTCAGATAAAAACGATCCGTAAATATTGAAATTTCACAATCACTTGCGAAATGTTCACATGACAACTACTTATATCAAATGTTTTGTTCTAGAAAGTTTTGTTGAAACATACCTATTTTTTTCATGAAGGTGACATTTCTCAATTACATATAATGACTAAATGATTCATTATATTTCGTACACTTTGACATAAAAATAAGTATAGTAAACAAGATAGTAACAGTCTAAGCATGTCCCATAATAGACAAAGGTTTTCTTTACTTTAATTTACTCTCTTTTGGGAGTATAGCATAGCAAAGTTGACAATGAGGCAATGAATGAAATTAGTTTTAGGGACTTTATCGCATTTTATTAACTTATTTTTATTTCCGATGATTTTACTTTATAACACCCATAGTCACAGGGGCTGAGGTATTTGGCGTCACAAATGTTAACCACGGCTACCTTCATAGTTGAAAATGACATAACTCAAGGAATTTTAAATAATATGTAAAGGTAAATAAATATCGCAAAGTATGATAAAGGATAAATTTATTTATATTTTCTTTCTTGTTAGTTCACACAATTTGTTTACAATTAGACTCCTCATACTTAACTTAATAAATAATAATTGAAACTTGAGATTAGTTCATTAGGAACGTACTATTTTTTTTAAATATAAAGACACATTAAAGTAGCTATATGTAATTAGTTATGTAGGATATATAATTAGTTAAGTAGTTTTTTTATGTTTAGATTATCTAATCTACTTTATAACTATTAGATATACAAGGTTATTTTGCAATAAACGGTCGAATTTGCAGAGAAGGTTAAGAATAAGTAATATAGGCACATGGTGAAGAAAAATTAATAAAAAATAATCACCAAACATTTTGTCTTTTTATCCTTTAAATTCAAAATGCGTGGTAATGCATTATTTTAGCTCATTTTACCGGGCACGCACACATTCGTAAGGAATAAAGAACGATCGGTAGGCAAAAACGTTGTTGCCCATAAAGTCTTATTTACTCGTATTTTGAAAAACTGCAATAATGGTATATCATTATTAATATATTTGAACTTAAGTTTAAAATTTGGCTACTTTATAACCCCGTATATTGATTTGTTACCCTTAAGATAAATAAATAAATATATTTTTTATTACATACATACTTTAAATTAATTAAAAACGTTACGTCATGAAACTAGTTTCGTATTGTTTGAGTTAGAAATCTTATTGAGCCACTGGTTCCAAACTCACGTATACAGGGTGCTATGTGGCTCCTGGACTGCTGGTAGCCCTTGGCGCAGCGGTTGCAGGTGGTGCCCGTCACTCCGTCCTTGCACGGGCACTGTCCACTGGTCTGATTGCACGTCTTGCCGCTCGCTCCCACCGGATGGCAGTCGCATGCTGAACATATAGTGAAAATAATAATTGTATATATAATGTAAATATTAAGTGTCTGTGTAAAATTATCCGCTACCCCATATTATACCGTGGGTGTTTTTAAAGGCGACAGAGGGAAACTGATCAGGAGATTTGCAGCAGCTCCTTCCTAAAAACGACTAAAAATAAAAATAGACCGTAGTTGCCAACCCTCCTGCCATGCGAGGCAACTATGCCAAATATCCCCCCATCTATGGGAGAGGCCTATTTTTAGCAGTGGACTTTAACAGGCTGTAATTGTAAATATGTACCCAGTCAATGCTCGAAGCACCGACAACCGATGTGGAAAAAAGGTTCTCGAGCGGCAGCCTCGTACCGGTAAGCGGAGTGTAGGACATACCCCACTATTTCGAGAGACAGCCTGGTAAGTAGAGTCGCTGAATGCAGATGGTTCAGGACCGTGCTTTGTGGAACTCCTTCTAGGAGTTCTATGTTCAGCAATGGATGTGTGAAGGGCTCTAATAATGATGATGATGGTGAAATAGTTACCCTATAATATTAAAGTTGTTAAGAATTATTTCGCATATATGCGCTTCAATAAAATGCTCAGGTGAGGTAGACTCTGCGGTGGCTGACTCCTTAGATCTTAGTTATATGTCCTGAGGATGCCTCGTGTAGAGGCGAAACACGAGTCGTATTATCGTCGGTGGTGTGTCTTTCCTAGTGTAGTGGTGTTGGGAGTAGTGGCGCTAGTATTAGTGGTGACGGGATTTGTGCACGCAACTTTATTATAATGGACTTCCGCAAAGTAACGCCTGACTCTATTAATTACCTTAAAATAGTTTTCATTCGAGTAAATTCAAAACAGGTATTTAACTGAGTGACAAACGAGCGCACAGTCTACCTGAAGAAAGTAAGGTAAGGGGATGGATGCTAAGGCACATAACAAAGAGTATATAATCGCTACGTTTCAGGCCATAATAGTCACTTACTTCTACCCTCGGGCTAGCATAAAATGTAGATGTGTTGTTTACCTATCCTTGATCCGCCCCGGTTTCGCACGGGTGATTTTTGGATCTCATATTCATGTATTATACATAAAATCCTTCCTCTTGAATCATTCTGTCTATTGTTGAAAACTGAGCTAAATTCATGATAGTTTAAAAAGATTTAAGCGTCCAGACGGCGGAAGCGACTTCGCACTCGACTCGAAGCACGCAAACGTCCGTTTACGTGGTAGATTCACGCTGCAGCTATATTATAGCTGTAGCACGAGTGGTTCAGCTCGACCGGGGCGAGACCACGCTCTCACAGAATATCGGAGTCAAATAGCAGCGTAATGCTGCTGTGTTTCGATGATGAGTGTAGAGAACCGAAGACCCTTTTTACTGTAATCGAGGCATTCCAACTTAGTCCCCAGGAGTGATAATGGAATGGAAATATGTGGATGTCTATGGGCCATAGCATCCACTTACCATCAGATGGACTGTGTGCTCGTTTGTCACCCAATGCTATAAGAAACGCAGCCCACTTGATGGTAAAAGTGTCTATGCGTACAAGAGGATGGCCACAGCCCATAGACATCTACACCGCAGCTGGATTGTGAATTAAAATGTAAATAAGTTCTAGTCCCCGAGTACTAAAATAAAATACCTCGTTACCAGTAAAATGGGCTTACGATTCTCTACACTCACCATACGAAATACAACAACAATAAGCTATTACTTGAGGCTGGTATTCTGTGAGTGCGTGATTCTACCCCTGTCGAGCTAACCCATGCGTGGTACAACTATAATATACCCGAAGCGTGGCAAAAACCCAGTAGTTGTAAAGTAACTATACAACTTTCAAACATTGTTATGACAGCTAGAACCTAATAAAGTACGTTAGGGTAATATGGCCATTCGGTGAATATGATTATTTTCTTATAACTCCAAATTTACAGCCTTGTTGCATAGATGGCTGTAGATTTTAAAAATAAAAGGGCGTTGCTTTATCGACGCCATTTTGACAGTTGATATTATCGTAAATATTTTAGTCGATTTTAGTATTGTGTAGTGTAGTTAGATTTTTAAGTAAATTTTTCGAAGTGTTCCTAATTATTGCTAAAGCTTGTTTGATATTTTTTCTTAATATATTAGTTATAGTATACGAATTTGTGTTTTTGTATTTATTCTACTCTTAATTTTGGTTTTATAGGGCGGCAAAGCTTAAGGTGATCGTATTAGCCTCACGTACCTTCATCTTTTTATAACAATGCAAAGAACAAAATAGTAATAAAAAACAATTACTTGATTTTTTCTGACGCGAACCGTAATTCTATTTTTATTCCAACATCAGGCACCTCACCCTATACACACTGAACTATAAACTAAAACAATAAACGTCGCGAAATACTCTCAGTCTTCTTGCGGTCGGGTCGGGTGAAATAGTTTTCCCATAAAAATCGGACGGGGACCAAAATGAGCCCCCAGGGAGGGCAAGGTCCAACGGTGTAGAGACAAGACAGTTTCCGTCGACGTCGAATTGATGAAGTTACTGTTACTGATGTTCGTGAAGGTGGAGTGGGGTGGAATAGGCGAGGAGACATAAATTTCGATAAATAATAGAGAAGTTGCATTTTTTTTGCCACAAATTTATATACAAATGAAAGAATATTTCATTGAAAGTATATTTAAATATTTTTTTTAATATTAATTCCATTTTTTAGTAAATATTTATAAAAAAGTAAATTTTTGATTAACAAAAAACGATTTGTGATTGGTTGTGACGTCATGTATCCGGCTGTGAGCCAATCCCAATAATGCTATTCTTTTGTTTTTTTTTTAATACTATTCGGATCACCATGTGATGTAACAATACTTACTGTGTTACGCAATGACATTTATTTTAATTTTGACAACGTAAGCATGAGTGTTTTATCATTTCACTATTTGGTGACGTTACTAAAGCGATATAATGGCATGTTAAATTACATGAAAAATCAATTGTTAATTTTTTATTAATTACTTAATAATTTTTAGTAAACTTTAACAAAACAATCAAAACTTTTATTGTAAATCGAATGGACGGGTTGTAATGATGACGACAACGATCAGCTTATCTGTCTGTACTATCGAATTAGCTTGTATTGAGTTGAGAAGGTTATTTGTATGCCATTAAGTCATGAATAAATATTTAAAAAATTGTGTCAGTCTGCCAGTCCCCGGGATAATGTTCCGAATGGCTTAGCCGATCGTGATCACACATTTTGTGAATGAAAGTCCCGACTTCCGACTTCAGAATGTAAAATTATTTTAATTATTATTTTTAGTTGTTTGAATTCAGCTTGTACATATATATATATATATATATATATATATATATATATATATATATATATATATATATATATATATATATATATATATATATATATATATATATATATATATATGCATATGTGACATGAGAACTAAAATTGAATGCCTTTTTTATAGTCGTTTATATCGGACCCCTGAAATAAAGCCTATTTAATAAAAATACATCATCAAAATCGCTTCATAATTGAAGAAGATATCGCGTAAAATATTTAAAAAAACAAACAAAAATCGAATTATTAACCTCCTCTTTTTTAAAGTCGGCAAAAAGTAGAACGTGATTCAATCCCTTGCAAACTGACTCAAGGCGTTATAAACCGAAAGGTAATTTTCCCTAACGTCCAACCTCTCGACTCCATTATCCTCTAACCCGAAACTGCCGACAATCTTCCAGCGACCGCACAATGATGAGCTCCTAAACGCAAACACCAACTTGCGGGTCGCGACCGTCGTCCAACTTGCCGAGGGACGCATTCCAATAATTGAGTTTCGAGAGGGATCGATTGCCGCCCGGGAGGAATAGATAGGCAAAGTCGTTGCTTTGTTTCGGGCGTCTTTGATGATTATTGTGTTTCCTCTTAATGTTCACGTTTGAGAAATACATTTGAAAATAGCTGGCGCTGCGGACGTGGTTCAGCCCTTTTCGATACGCGGCACAATGTGTTTCACACTCAATTCCCTCCGGATTTTTTTCAATGTAAATATAAAATTTATTGTTAACACGCCCATTCATAGATTCATTCATTACAAGCTATAAAAGTATTGCTGCTTTGTTTCCTATGGTGAGTGTTTTTTTAATAGAATAAGGGTGACCAACGAGCAGACAGTCCACCTAATGGTAAGTGGATGCTTTGGCCCATAGACATCTACATTTATCCTCGATCAAGAATCAAAACGTTGTTATCCCTGAGGACTGAGATGGAATGCCTCGTTTCTATTAAAAAAAGAGTCTCCGAATCTCACATTCACCATGCGAAACACAACAGCACTAAGCTGATATTTTACGCTGGTATCTATGAGAGCGTGGTCCTTCTCCAGTCGAGCCGACCCATTCATGCTAGAACTATAATATAGCGTGGCTCTATCACGTTGCAAGTATAAAGAAACAGAGACCATTTTTACCGGAAAAGAAGCAATCCATCTCAGTATTCAAGGGTGCAAATGCTGCATTTGGATTCTCAATCGAGGATAGATGTAGGAATGAAGTCTATGGGCCACAGCATTCACCATTAAGGTAGACGGTGTGCTCGCGTGTCACCCTAATTCAATAAAAAAAGACTTGCTGGCTGAACGGACGTCGTTCTGCTCTTTTCGACAGGTGGGACGATGAGTTTAATTCTCAATTAACTTCGGTCTTTTACAGTGTAAATATAAAATTAAGATGACCACCCATTCGTTCATTACACCCTATAAAAATTCTTTTCAGAACATAGGCTTCCCCCATAGATTTTGGCTCATGGGGGTGAGGGGGGGGGTTACCATAAATGCCGCGCTTGGATGGCGGGTTGGCAACCGCAATTTTTAATAATTTTGATTTGTTTTCAGGAAAATTCTGTGTCCTCTTAGGAACGATATGGCGTAGAGGATTCTCACACTAATTACTTAGTTTTTTGGCACCGAACCAATTCATTATACTGTAAATATGAGTCATGTTATATGTAAATATCTATTGCATGCTAACATAGGTACGAACCATCGTCTCGACAAAACAAATAAATGTTGTAAATATGAACTACGACTTATATATTATATAATATACAAAGTGTAACTTTATAAACGAGCATGTATGCGTAGGCATTTGAATGTGAAGGAGGCGAGAGAGGTGTGTCAGGATCGTGGCAATTGGAAGTCTGTAGTCTCTGCCTACCCCTTTGGGTGACAGACGTGAGTGTTTATATTATGTTACGTTTATTATCTTATAATAAAAGTAAAAGCCAACTTAAAAGGACTAAAAAGAACGAAATAATTTCATTTTGAAGTCGGTTTTAAGACATAGTGTATAGTGTATAGCCCCAACTTCTGAATGTGAAATTATTTTAATGAAGTAAAAACTTCTTTACAGTTGTTGTGATTGGAGATTCGATGAACTGAAAAAGACAAACTAAAAAGAGACAAAAATATATATATGTACGATTGAGCCTGCGAGAAAATGAGATAGAATACAATATACGGTGTTTTCTTTTATCTCGGTCTCGTTTACTGAAGGTTTCACTTCTACCGCGTGTAATCTACACACATGTTTTGTTCTTTTTAGTTCTTTGAAGATGGTTTTACTTTTTATAAAAGTTTGTTATTCAGCCTTTTATATAGACAAAGGAATATCACAAACGCAATGTCATCGAAGTAGTCACATGAAGAAGTTACAAGAAAACACTCCAAATCAAAGGGGAGCACCCCTTGACTTGGAATGTTTTCTCTAAGTTTATATGCGGCCACTCCTTAAGCATAACTTACTTATTTAGGTAATAAAAAAGATCATCAAAATCGGTTCACAATTGATTGACGATTAATGTATGTGGTAGAACAACGCTGCGGTTATAATATTATAGTTGCAGTACAAATGTGTCAGCTCGACCGGGAAAGGATCACGCTCTCAAAGAATATTAGCGTCAAATAGCAGGTTAATCCTGTTGTTTGTTAGATGGAACGCTCTGCACATCGTGGATAGATGTAGACGTCCACCTCCAGATGGTGAGTATAGTGAACCGGAGACCCTTTTTACTGAAAACAAGGCATACCCTCATAGTTTTTAAGAGTGGAACGCATCTGCACTTTGATTCTTAATCGTGGATAGATATAGACGTCCATAGCCCACTTGATCCACTTACCATCAGGTGGACTGTGTTCTCATTTGTTACCCTAATTCTTTAAAAACCATGAATATGTTAATGAAACATGGTTTCTACGTAAATAAATCAAATGTGTAACATGATAAACAATGTAGACATAGCCACATTCTTATTCACCCCCGAAGAACAGTAAAATGTTTCAGTGATTTATAACAGTTTCATTTAAATAAAGGCACGTATACACTGTTTACTTGAAACACTGTGTACCTACAGGTGTATAACATTCTTTATGAGGCATCTTTTATTTATTTTATCTGTGCACGGCAGCAAGCTAAACTTGGTTTTACCATAAAAATGTTACGCGCATTATTTTTACCTTTATTTGTGAGTTGCCCGTCTATAGTTTTATTACAACTATTTTGGGTACATTAAACATTAGTGAAACATAATTTTGGATTAAATACTTTCTTATGTCCTTAGGCTGAGTTTCTGTCATGGCGGCCAGTCTTTGTAGAACTTTAAAATAGAAAATTATAATCCAATTATTGTGTTTCGTATGATGAGTGTAGACAACCGGAAACCCTTTATTCTGGCAAGTATTAACAAAAATATAAGACCAGGAGTGACAATGCTTCTGCATTTAGACCCTTTATTTTTGTTAGATATAGGTAGTTAATAAATAAATAAATTGATATAATCAGGCGTTATTTTGCGGAAAGCCATTATAATAAAGCTATTAAGAGTTACTTAAGAGATATTAATAGTTACTTAGCGGTCAGCCGCCCTAGAGTCAACATCACCTGAAGATGCCTCGTGTAGAGGCGAAACACGTGTCGTATTATCGTTGATGGTGTGTCTTTCCTAGAATAGTGGTGTTGGGAGTAGTGGTGCTGGGATTGGTGGTGACGGGATTAGTGCACGCAATTGAGGGAGGGCGGAATGTGCTCTTCAAACTAGATAAGACACATAATTTGATTTTATTCAGCGGATGGTTGCAAATTAACTATTAAGGGGATATAGTAAGTCAGCTCAAATTCTAATTTCGCCCCCACTTCCCCGCGCGTCGTATGCTATGTACCGACATGTTTGTAATCACTAATACTGTAAGTAGAAAGGTCGTTAGACACTTATTTCATTAGGTTTATCATATTTATGCCTGTTTCTTAACGCCAAGCCAGTCGCGTCTTATTTTTATTACGGTTATTTCCTATTTTAATTTTACGTCATCCTGTTGCGTAATGTGTATTCTGATCGTAAGCGACACAACCTCGTCACATTTTAGTGACTCCCCCTTCAAAAGCCGAAGCAAAACTGACCGGGCGGTAGGAATCACGCTTCAAGAGGCCGATAGTTTAGGTAATTTCTTTTTATAGTGAAAATAATGGTATTTAAAAAAAAGTAAATAACATAACTGCACTGCTTTATAGTCAGTTCAGTTAGTATGCAAAGTTTCATGATCTTATTTAAAGTATTTTATGAATAACAGCGGTTTATTGTTTATTTTTGAGGTAACTTTGGATTTTTTTTCTATCGAGAAAATTATACGGAATCGTGTTTTCGTCTAACATAGTCCTTAACATTAATCCTGAACTTTACCACATATTTATTTCGAAATGAATGCTGCAATATTTTCGGCATAACGGAGGATCTTGCTAAGCCATTTGAGGTTATATTTGGCCCTTAACATCTTTATTATAGATATAGGTGTCTAGAGGCTAGAGTACTCACTTACTGCGTGCGTACTTGTTTCTCATAGTCACTCTTAACTGTATAAAATTATACATTAATGTACTTTTCACATGTTGAAGATAAACGTGATGAAATATTTAAAAAAAAAACTTACGTTTACAAGCCTTCTTATGAGTGATGGGCTTAGTGGGGTCCCTATAGTAACCCTCCCTGCAGTAATGGCAGTGGCGGCCCGCGGTGTAGTGCCGGCACTTGAGACACACGCCGCCGCTGGCACGTCCAGACAGCTTGTACAGCTCCATGTTGAAGCGGCACCGACGCGCGTGACCATTGCAGTTGCATTCTGTAAATTAAATGTCTAATTTAGAAAAAACAAAGCGATTATCAACTGTGCAGTGGATGGAGAATATCCACTACCACACGTCTCGTGGGTGGATAAAAGGCGACAGAGGGGAACAAAGAAGTACATGGGCAGCAGCTTCTTTCTAATAACAATTAATACGTGGTAGAGCCATGCTGCAGTTATATTAGTAGCATAGTTGTAGCACAAATGGGTCGGATCAACCGGGGAAGGACCACGCTTTCACAAAATACCAACGTAAACTAGCAGCTTAATGCTGCTGTGTTTCGTATGGTGAGTGTAGAGAACCGGTGACCCTTTTTACTGGAAACGAGGCATTTCATCTTAGTTCTCATGGGTGACAAAGCATAATCTATTCTTTCCCCGGTCGAGCCGACTCATTCGTGCTACAACCATAATATAGCTGCAGCGTGCCTCTAACACGTATAATAAAGGGCTGACAGCGCATCTGCATTTTGATTCTTAATCGTAGATAGATGTAGATATCTGTGGGCCTCAGCGTAGCATTAGATGGACTATGTAATCGTTGTAAAACTTATTCTATAAAAATAGGTGGCTGGTAGTACCTGGTTGCATGAAACCGAGGATCAGACTAAATGTCTCGAAAAATAGACAAGAAATAAAATTCTAGAGAGGTTGATTGAATAGAACGTAGGTTCTATCTATGCTGTAAGGATGACCAAATGAATACCGCAGACTTTTGAGCAGATTTTGTTTACTTCCATTTTGTCTTTTTACAACCATTTTTTATTCATTGACTAGCGGTCTGCCCCGGCTTCGCACAGGTGATATCTGGATTCTATGACGCCTCCTACCGGGTCCAACTATGCCTATAACCTTTGCGGAAGTGCAAGCACTATGTTGACAAAGTTTTACCGCAATCTGGTGAACGGTTTGGCAGCGCATAAAATACGACCAAGCAAAAATTAATCTTAAAAGATATTACATTATTGTTTTCATGTGTGTACACCGCTATATAACAATTTCTACTATACCCCATACCGTCCCGTGGGTGTCGTAAGAGGCGATAGAGGATAACAAATAAGGAGTCTTTCTAATTACAACTAAATACAAAAAGCTGCGTTTGCCAACTCGCGTGCCAAGCGTGGCAACTATGGAAAATATCCTCCGTATAAGGTAATCTATGGGGGAGTCCTATATGCAGCAGTGAATTTTGATATGTAACGGTAATGGTATTGATTATTTCAAGCACTGCAAAAGTATGATTAACTAAAACAAAGCTCTCGCTCGCAATCACCGAAATTTTTCATTACAACAGTTCGTTATAATAACATAAAAAATTGTGAATGAAATTATACAAGCAAGCAAGCAGTGCTTTACTTATGGCCGCTACAATGGTGCGCGTGCGCCGCCCCGTCGCATAAAACTGTCAACGTGCGTGATCTGTTGATAATATATTCCGTGTTACTGCTACCAGATGGCGCTGGGGTAACGGTTAATGTTCCTTTGTAGCCCGCTTTTATCAACGGCCGTTGGTAGAATTATGATTTATTATGCTAGAGGCGAGTTATGGTATCTATTTGGTATCATTTTGATTATAGTTTCGTTTTAAAAATTATTTTTTTTACACTCAGGTCAAAAGAAAGTCAACCTTAGAATATACATTATTAAATAAAAAAATGTATACTCTAAGAAGTCTTGCGTTGACTTTTTAAAGCATATTTTTTTATTTAATACGTTCGAACGTAATTTCTCTTTTAGTTTTAGTTTACATCCCACTTACACAGCAATCTGTCGTGGGCATTCAGCTGTTTCTTCGTCTGAGCTGCCTCTGACTATTTTGTTTATTTAAGCAAGGGAAGTTTTCCATTGACCATTCTCACTATTATTTGGTGAATCGTTTAATGAGATTTCGAATACAATTCCTTCTCATTCTTTTTTATATAGAATAAGGGTAACAAACGAGCACACAGTCCACCTGTTGGTAAGTGTATGCTGTGGCCCATAGACATCTACATTTATACTCGATTAAGTATCAAAATGCAGATGCTTTGTCACTCCTGGGGACTAAGATGGAATACCTCATTTTCAGTAAAAACGGTCTCCGGATCTCCACACTCACTGTACGAAACACAACAGTATTAAGCTGCTATTTCACGCTGGTATTATGTGAGATCACGCTTCCCCGGTCGAGCAGACCCATTCAAAATTAATTTAATTGCTAAATTAAATAAAGCTAAATAAAAGCCAAAGCATTAATGCGTAATTACGTAATTAATATGAATTATTGTCACTAGTATTAAAAATGACATGGATAGCAATCAGCATTCAAATTATGGTGTAGTGGTGACGTAAGAATATGCACTACCCCATATCATCATCCCGTGAGTGTCGTAAGATGCGACAGAGAGAAACTAATCAGGACGTAGACATCAGCGTTATTGGACGTGGTAGAGCCAGGCTGCAACTATATTATGGTTGCAGAACCAACAGGTCGGCTCGACCGGGGTAGGACCACGCTCTCACATTTATTTTACATATATTATTATATCATTTCCCATTCTCCCGGATAACCTCCTTGCAGCTTATTCCCACCTGAATTTATCAATGTCTTATTTATAACTGGTCATGGTTTGTCTGTTCCCAAAGCAGTGTTGTTATCTTCTCTCGTCATAAGCAAGTCCCTGAAATCAACATTGTCTATAATAATGAATCTATCCCAATTAGGAAGAATGTTTTTTGGGAGTTATCCTTGATTCCAAACTAACCTTTTCTCATCATATCAATTATAAACATAACATAACATAAACACTAACGCCTGTCACCCAGAGGGGTAGGCAGAGACTACAGACTTCCATTTGGCACGATCCTGACACACCTCTCTCGCCTCCTTCACATCCATACACCTACGCATGCATGCTCGTCGGTTAAGGGTACTCCTAATTTGGCCCGTTTTCAATAAATCGCCAATTTGGTCGATAAATTTTCGCCTAGGACTTCCCTTTCCGACTCTGCCATTCACTTCTGCAACATAAATTTTCTTTGTCACTCTTTCCTCATCCATTCTTTCCACATGACCAAACCACCGAAGCATTCCTTTCTTAATCCTGGTCACAACATCATCTTGCAAACCACACTCTTCTCTTATCACACAATTTTTCACCCTGTCATTCAGATTCAGCCCTAACATACTCCTTAAACGACCGCATTTCTACTGCATTTATTCTACTCTCGTGCTTCTTCTGCCATACCCAACTTTCACTACCATACGTTAAAGTAGGGACCAACACAGCATTGTGAATTGCCATACGTGCCTTTTTTGACACATTTTGACTCTTCACAATAGAGTGCAGGGCTCCATTTACTCTGTTTCCTGCATATCAATTATGTTTTTAAAAAATGTGAAAAGAATATAAATATTATTCGTGCTTTATCGGGAGTTTGTACAGAGAGAGAGACTGAGCGACTGTTTATTAAATACCAATATGAATAAATATTTTTTTGGGGGAGAGGGAATAAACGAGCACGCGGCTCACCTGAATGATGGTTGGTGACTACCACCGCCCATGAGCAATTGCAATACTCTCACAGAATACCAGCGTAAAATAGCAGCTTAGTGCTTCTGTGTTTCGTATAGTGAGTGTGGAAAACCGGAGAGCATTTTTACTGGAAACGAGGATTCCATCTTAGTCCTCAGAGGTGAAAACGCGTCTGCATTTTGAATTTTAATATAGATGTAGATGGGTCACATCATACGTTTACCATCAGGTGGACTATATGCTCGTTTGTCACCCTTATTCTATAAAAAAGCGTCATATAACAACTAAAAATAAATAACTGCGGTTGCCAACATTCGGAAGATTTTATGCATGATTCAAGAAACAGTTAACTGTACATTATTTGTCTTTCTAACTCCTTTCATTAATCATGATTCATGATCAATTGCTAGAAAACTGATATCTTTTTAGTGCATAATTTGATAACGCTTTTAACTAGCTTTTTAACTTTTAATCTTTCTCCCCTTTTATTTATTCTACTTTGGGCTCTCTGGTCAAATAGCTCGAAGGATCGATAACTGATGAGGTGGAAAGGTTCTCGAGTGAGCCTCATACCAGTAAGCAAAGGGAAGTTCCCTACTTGAACTGATGACCTGGTAAGAGATTCAGGAGGAAGTCGATGAATGCAGGTGGCTTAGGACGGGGCTTTAAACAAAACTTTGTAGCAATTCACGGGGTAGGACTATGTACAGCAGTAAACTTACGATGTAATTTAATGATGATGACAATTATTTGGACCACGAGGTTATTATCTATAAATATGAACAAAATTGTAGCGTCTGTATGTAACATCATATAAACTGCCTTGTATTGAGCTGAGGGGTTTATTCACGTGTTATTAAAACCTGAATTACCAATGAAAAAAGTTTGTCTGTCTGTCTATACTTCTGTCTGTCTGTCTGTTTTTTGTGTGTCTATCTGTTCGTCTGTGTCCGGGCTAATTTTTGGAATGGCAGAACCGATTGTACCGAAACTTGGTGAACAGATAGAGAACCATGCTACGAGTGATCTAGACTGTGTTCTTTTCGAAAAACTCGGTGATTATTTGAGAAATCGTAGAATTGATCAAATAAATGGACTGTGATGATTATATTAAATCTAAATGATGCCACAAATAGTTTCAGGCGAAGCCGGGCCGGATCGGTAGTTAATAAGCTAGACGTAAAAAGGGAATATTCGGAAAAATCAATTCCTTTGATTACACAGTGAAAGTTAAATCGGAAATTGTTTTGAAGTCCCCAACTCTATTCTAAATTCAAACAGCGTTTAAATGAATTGGTATTCCGCGTCGCGGCCGGGGAAAGCCGAGCTGAACAGTTCGTTACGTGCTCCAGGACGTGAGCCATTAGCCGGGATAACTTTGTAACCTTTAGCCCGCCTCCATTCATCCTGCTTGCTAGAGGCTTTGCTATTTCGGAAAATTGTAAGAGATTTTTAAAATTCATATTGAGACCGTAAAAATTAATCAATTTAAGTGTTACTGTCCTCAGAATTGATATTGCCTAACAGATTTAAAGTCTAAGTTAAAATATTTTATTTAGAAACCTAAAAAAACTACGCCATCGCTTTAACAATTTCCTTCTGCGGGATACATTGCGAAAAAAATGGCATAAAATTTACATATAAAGTATTTTCCTCCGAACAGTTAAAGTTTAATCTTATAAAATATACATACTTTAATGAATGAAAAAAGCTGTCCATGCGTTCTTATCTTTTGTTTATTTATCTAATTTATAATAAAATGTTCTTTACTTATGCCTTGAATTTATGCAACGACTCAACATGCGGCTAATGAAAAGATTGATGAAACGAGAGTCAAAGAACATATAGTTGACGAAAAATATCTTTGTTTTGGAATGTCTGTGGTCTAGGAAGTTTTTCAGGACTGGACAGGACTACCCTAGCTATTAAATTAGACTCGACAGACCACAAATCCTCGATAAACAATAATGATTCCTACCAAGAATAAAATAATTGAAACGTATATGAAAACAACGTAATCCTGTTTTTTTTTTTAAATCTGTTCATTTTCATACTTGAATCCTCGTTATTGCCTTGCGCTTTGGTGACACGAATGAAATCGTAAAAAAAAATGCTATTACGACATGGAGGTGTGGCTTGGCGTGATTGTTATCGTTTTTTTTCGGCAGTCTTCGCACGGTGTCGTTCATCAGATTGAGCTAAAACTTTATCAACATTTGCACTCGCGCGAAGGTTATTATAATAAGGCATAGTATACTTAACTTATAGTAGGTGGCGCACGTATCGTACGTATCGTTATTATAATAAGGCATAGTATAATTAACTTATAGTTAAACTATAGTAGGTGGAGCACGTATCGTTATTATAATAAGGCATAGTATAATTAACTTATAGTAGGTGGCGCACGTATCGTACGTATCGTTATTATAATAAGGCATAGTATAATTAACTTATAGTAGGTGGCGCACGTATCATACGTATCGTTATTATAATAAGGCATAGTATAATTAACTTATAGTAGGTGGCGCACGTATCGTACGTATCGTTATTATAATAAGGCATAGTATAATTAACTTATAGTAAGTGGCGCACGTATCGTACGTATCGTTATTATAATAGGGCATAGTATAATTAACTTATAGTAAGTGGCGCATGTATCGTACGTATCGTTATTATAATAAGGCATAGTATAATTAACTTATAGTAGGTGGCGCACGTATCGTACCAACAAATTTATTTTAAAGTCTTATATCATTCAATTTCAATTAATTTGTTATCATTCCTAATAAAAAAAATAGTAAAACGATATTTAACACAATTATTTCTTCTTAGTGTCAAATAAAATTAAGCACCAAAATGTTGCATATTATGTTTTTCGAATTACCCTTTTAATAATAATTAGTAATCAAGAGTTACTTTTAATTTTTAATTAGTCTGGATTAATTTACAACATCTGAACATTAAACTTTTCGTGCAAGCCGTAACCATTCCAAAAAAGCTTCCAAAAAGTTGGGCTTTTATAATAAGTTAAATCAGATGCGATCAAATTCGTTAAAATAAATATTATTCAAAGTATCTCAAAAGATAAAAGATAACATAAACTTTCATTTGGCACGACCCTAATACACCTCTGTCGCCTACTTCACATCCATATATTCTACACATACACGCTCGTTGGTTAATGGTATCCTTCATTTGGTCCATGTCCAACATATTACTAATTTGGTCGATAAAATTCGGTGTAAAGCGACTCTTACTGACTCCGCCACTCACCCCTACAGTGTAAATTTGCTCTGTCACTCTTTTTTTTCATTCTTTCTACGTGTTCAAAATACTGTGTTCATAATGCTGGTCACAGCATTTTTTTTGCAAACCATACCTTTCTCTAATCACACAATTTCCCCTATTCAATCATTCGGAGTCATCCCTAACATATTTCTTAATCACCAGTTTTTATACAAAATTAAGAAAAGTTAAGTCATTGCGATTTTAATTATCCAGTTATAAATATTTCAGGTTTTCTACACAACCTGCTATTTCACGCTAGTATTTTGTGAGAGCGTGGTCTTTTCCCAGTCGAATCAATCTACCTGAGTTTCAGAATTCACTGCAGCGTAGCTTCACCACTCTACTTATAAAGAGATAACTCTTAATCGTTAAAATCAAAAATACTCAGTATTACAAATAGCAAATCTATACATAGGTATATTAAGTTTTTTGGTAGTTTGGGTCTCAGACCAACAAAAAAAATAGAGAGAGAGAGAGTGCTACATACTTTTTAAGTGATCCTGAAACCATGCTCAACTTCTGGACACGCACACATCTTTCCTCTTTTATTTTTTTTGTCAGCTCGTGAAAAATTACTTCTGGATGCGAAATTATAGAGCATAGCACAACAATGTTGTTGGTTGCAAATAATTTTAAAATGTATATGTGTACATGAGTTTATGTTCTTATTATAAGTTGAGAATCCAGTTCATAATTTTAATTCTTTCTCACATTTGTATTGATTCATTCTATCTTAACGTTATTTCGATATTACAAAGAGGCTCTTCAAATTTATTTATATAGTACGTAAGTGTCATCCAGTTAATATGGTCACTTTCTTATAACTCAAAAACTACAGCTTTGTTTGCATAGATGGCTCTGTGATACGATAGCTCTTCATCAGTCAGTCTAATAATAAAGGCTCAAAAAGCCACTGTTTTATCGACGTCATATTGATAGTTGATATTATAGTAAATATTTTAGTCAAGTTTAGTATGGTGAGAAACTGTGTGATAAAAGAAGAGTGTGGTTTGCAAGATGATGCGGTGACCAGGATTAAGAAAGGAATGCTTCGGTGGTTTGGTCATGTAGAAAGAATGAATGCGGAAAGACTGACAAAGCAAATATATGTTGCAGAAGTGAATGGAAGAGTCGGAAAGGGACGTCCTAGGCGGAAGTTTGTCGACCAAATTGGCGATATACTAAAAATGGCCCAAATTAAGAGTACACTTAACCGACAAGCATGTATACGTAGGTATCTGGATGTGGAAGAGGCGAGAGAGGTATGTCAGGATCGTGCTAAATGGAAGTCTGTAGTCTCTGCCTACCCCTCTAGGTGACAGACGTGAGTGTTTATGTGTAGTATGGTACTACACCGTAGTTGGTTTTTTTTAAGTAAATTTTTCTAAGTGTTCCTAATTATTTCCAAAGCTTGCTTGCTATTTTTTCTTAATATATCAGTTATAGTACCCACATGAATTTGTGTTTTTGTCTGCACTTCTCCCAGTTTTGGTTTTATAGGGTGGCAAAGTATTACCCTCACATACCTTATACTGTACAGGTTATTTTAGTACTATAGAACATGTTAAAAGTATGTAATCACTACTTTGAGTTGTGTTTATAATTAAAAAAAAAAAAGAATGAATAATTTCTCGGATCTGTTTAAATTATTTTTAAAGATGTTAAAAATTAATTAGCTAAGGTCCGCGCAACAAATACAGCATCATTTTCAAAATCTTTATTATAATGGATTTCGATAGTAACGTCTGATTCTATTAATTTACATTCATTTTTGTCTAAAAGTTTCAAAGGGTCTAAAGGTGAAATTTTAAAGGAGAGCAGTAATTGGCCTTATGGCGTACGTGAGATCAGGCGGCGGGACGTGAGGCGACGTTTCCGTTGCTTCTTTGCCGGTAATGCCTCTGCGGACGCGCGTGATCCCGAATAAAGGGCCGATCAAGACGGCTGTCGGGTTTGAGATGTTTAGTCAAGCTTCGTGAATTGTTTTGATAGTTTTTGCAAGAGTTGGTTTTGCTTTCCTTTAAATTAGAGTTGAGCCGTAAATTAAATGGAACTTTAATTTTTTTAACTTCAAAGTGGAAATAATGGGTGCGTTCGGCAGAAAAAAGCGCTAGCAAGCGCTGGTAAGCAAAATGGCGATCGTAAGCGGTAAGCGCTGTCAAATCGTAAGGTAAGTAGCTATTTTCCTTCAGCACACGATGTTAGTTTTAACCGGGGAACCTAACCTAATTTAAATCTCTCTCTCTCTCTCTCTGTCTCTCTCCTTCCTGGCTATGTGTCCCACATGGTGGTGGGGTTAGCCTTTCTTGTCTTACGCCTCCACTTCGCTCTATCCTCGACTTCATTTTCGGAGACTTCGCACTCTCTCATGTCCTTTACCACTACATCTTTCGATCGTGTTTTGGGTCTGCCCCTGGATCTTCGACCTGGGATGGAAAGTTGTAGTGCCAAGTTCCCTACGTAGTCGGGTGGCCTCCTCTTCACGTGCCCATACCATCGCAGCCTACTTTCCTGCATCTTGTCAGCGATGTCGCGCACGCCCAAGCTTCCTCGCACGTACTCGTTGCGGATTTTGTCGAGCTTGGTAACGCCGCACATCCACCTCAGCATCTTCATCTCGGCAACTTGCATGGTATGCACATTCTTTTGAGTTACGGCCCATGTTTTACTGCCATACAATAGGACTGGTCTGATGATGGTCTTATAGATTAAACCTTTAAGTTTGACCGGCATTCTCCTATCGCACGTGACACCAGTCACTTCTCGCCACTTTAGCCACGCTGCGGCTATTCGGTGCTGAATGTTAATTTCCAAGTCCCCAGAACCGCTCATCATACTACACAGATACTTGTATTGATCATACGATTTGACCAATTGTCCATCGATGGAAATCGGACTGTTGTTTGTATCTGGGTCGTTGAAGGACATGAACTGAGTCTTTGCCACACTCAGCACAAGGCCACCGGTCTGTAACTGATGTTTCCACGACACGAGTGCCTCTTGCAAGTGAGCGCGGCTGTCTGTGCAGATGGCTACGTCGTCAGCGTATATAAATGTCCACGTTGCTGAATTCTGTGCCGCTTCAGTGAGTGAGTCCAGAACTAAACAAAACAGAAAAGGGCTCAATACAGAACCTTGGTGCACTTCTTCTGTGACCGCTATCGACTTGGTCTCACCCACCACCGTCCGAACCATTGACCTCGCATCTCTTTACATGTCGGCAATGATGTTAACGTAGTGTTTGGGGACATTTTTCTTACGAAGGCTCCACCAGATCGTATCCCTTGGGACACGATCAAACGCCTTTTTCATGTCCAAAAATGCGACATATAATGGTCGGTTTTTCGCGCGATACTCTTCGACAATCGTGTTAAGAGCAAACATCGGATCCGTGGTAGACAATCTTAGACAGCTCGCACTCGGATCTTATGCGGCTGTCAATTACCCTCTCATAGAGCTTCATGGTGTGACTGAGGAGCTTGATTCCGCGGTAGTTGTTGCACTCGTACTTACTACCTTTTCCCTTGTAGATGGGAACTATAGTGCTCAATATCCACGCCTTTGGCATTTTTGAAGAGAACAACATACAGTTAAAGAAATCGGTTTGCAGTACGAGTCCGCGTGGACCTAAGCATTTCCAAGCTTCCACTGGTATTCCGTCAGGTCCAATGGCTTTCTTGTTGGATATTTTGTGTAGGGCTTTCTTTACCTCATTAGGATGTATTGGAGGTATAAGTCCTGCATTCACTTCCAATCCAGGAAGTTATGTGGCAGCTAGATGGGGTCGGGATAGTAGCTGTTCGTAGTAATGATGCCAAGCTGTTATGACATCATGGTCTTTATATAACAAGTCGCCATTTGGACCTTTGACAGTTTTACACCTGGCCGGATCCTTTGTGCTTTGACAACGCTGTTTTGCTAGCTTATATATACACTTTTGGCCTTCTTTTGTGTTTAACTTACTATAAAGCGTTTTCTGGGACTGCGCACGTTCTATGGCTATAACTTTCTTGGTAACTTTTTTAACTTCTTTGTACTTTTCCCGATCTTCTGGGGTTAAAGTGGACTGCCAAGTCTTAAAAGCATCTTTCTTTTCCCGTATTGCATCTTGCACCTTCTCTGTCCACCACCACGTCTCTCTGTCGGATTTTTTACCGCTTTTTGTACGGCCAAGAATGTTGTTTGCAGTAGTTATAATGGACTTACGTAAATGTTCCCATATGGTGTCAATATCTGATTTAACATCAAACTTTAAATCAGCAAGACGTTCACAGAACTCGGGAATTTTCTCACCTTTTAGGTTCCACCATTTGGTGAGTTCAGGAATTTGAGTTGGTTTTTCCTTGGGATGTCGTTTGGAAAAACCAACTCAAATTCCTGAACTCACCAAATGGTGGAACCTAAGAGGTGAACCTAACCTAATTTAAATATATGTTTATAAAGTATTCATATTAAAAACTTACCAATCATGAATTTTTAATAACGTGTATATGTCTATTCATGTCATTATATTACTTAAAACTAATATTGCACAAAACAACTTATAATTTCTACTTCAAAACAAACAAATTAAATAAGCAAAATGGCGGATTGTGTCAGCGCTACTGAAGTAGCAATCGCGTCCTGGCCCAAAACTATTTTAGCGCTTGTAAGCGCTTGTAAGCGCTTTTTTCTTTCAAACGCGCCCAATGATAATGTCCTCCAGAACCAATTTCGTTTATGGCGCGGCGGCTCGTATCAATGGAGACTGGGCATCTCTGCACACATGATTACAGTGCCGGGGTGTACAGCTCTTCAATAGTTTACATAGCTACCACCCCAGGATAGAATTATAATGCCAGAGAGTATACTCAACACAGGTGCACGCTCTATTCCCTCACTCGCATAGTCCGTCTTGCGAACCAACGGCTTTACGTGCTTTCCGAGAGGCGAAGGTGAAATACCGCTAACTTCCTGATTCCGGACTGCTACCCAGAATTTCTTGACAGAAAAACCCCAATAAACCCCCAAACCCAATAACTGATTTTGACTCGATCCAGAATTCGAATCCAAGACCTCATGATTTATGACCACTGGACCAAGGAAGCATAGTTCTGGAATTCTGTTCGAAACGATGTTTTTCTACAGTAGTCAAGCGGCTCTTAAATTTAAATATTTCAATTAAAAAATGTACATATACTTAAAAGTTATTATTTTAGAGTTAAATGACTTATATTACATTTTCAAATATTTTCAAATACCAAGACAAATAATACAAAACATTGACATTTTATAAATATGTTTAGCTCTCCTTGTTTAGTTCTGTTAATCGTTTAATCGCTTTTAATAGAGTTAAACAAAAACAATAGACGCAGTACTTGAACGTCTAATGGAAAGATAAAATTAATCTACTTATTCTAAACAACCAATTTTAAACACAATTAAGATAAAGTAAGCGGGCACAGTTAAATCCTATCACGTATTTAAGCAGTCTGTAGAAGAAAGCCAGACGTCGGCAACCCTCGGTAACAATATTAACTGAATAGGGGGGAACGTCAAATTGGCGCACTCGAGATAACGAGTTTATTAATTCAATTAATCCTAGCTCAAAATGGAAGTATCAACGCTTAATTACTTGGTAAGTTGATAGAGCACTCCTGACTTATGTGTAGAATCATGTGACACATGTTAATTAGTTTCAATGTTCAGGATATTACCATTAAGTTGGCACACCTGACAGAGACGAATTAATAATTATTATTTTATAAAAAAATTATAAAGAAAATTTACAATGATATCTGGTGATTCCGTTCATTGTACTTTGCAGTTTATTTTTCAAATATTAAAAAAGATTTCAATTAAATTTTCCTTTTCTTATACTACTCTACTTATACTAATTGTATTCGACACATCAGTTTGACAGACACTATGCTATTCATTGAGGATATGTAAGTATGTAAACATTGAAAAAAAAATCTATTAAAAATAATTTTTTGTTATACTTTGATCGAAAGTTCGTATTTCAACACTACTTTTAGGGACGAAAGTGCATATCGCCTTCCGATTCAATAAATCTATTATTTTTAAACGTCAAAAGCATTTGTCGTAATACATTTTAAGGTATATTCATTTCGATCAAGGTATGATAAAAAATAGTGCGCACTACGGGAAGAAAGTATGACATCACAAGCCGCGTTCTTATCACTCGAATTCAATACTACGCGGGTTGGAATGACATACCTTCCTCCCTCGGTGCGTAATTTATTATTAAGTTTCAAGTATGTTACCAATATCGGATTAATCCAAATCAATACACGTTTAATTGCTGGTACCCGGTTGATATTTTTCGCTCGGTTTTTTTTTATATCGTGTGTTTTGGAAATTATATTTAGATACAAATTACATACTGATGAAATACGAATAACATTTTTTGATCTTAGCGACATAATAGAAAAAACTGATTTTTTATTCTATTTGAATAAAAATCTGGTGGTTTTTTATTCAAATCGAATAAAAAATCATGAGTGCAATTAATTTAATTTAAATTTTCGTGTATTTAAAAAAATTAAAAAAAGGCTCGAAAAAATAGATTTTCTCAAAAAAGAAAGGAACTTGAAAAAAAATTAAAAAAGTCGGGTCGGTCGTTCTGGGCTCGAACCATGGTATTACGACTTTGTGACCGCCCAATACACCAATCAAGGTATTTGTAATCATTAACAAACTGTCAAAATTTACCTTCTTATTCTAACGATATTGTAGCACTTTTTCATTGCCTAAAAACACGGACAAAAAGACATTTTCTAAAAATAAATCCTATTAACACGACACAAATTTTATGAAAATCGTTGGAGCCGTTTCCGAGATTCCGATTATATATATATATATATATATATATATATATATATATATATATATATATACAAGAATTGATCGTTTAAAGTTATAGGATAAAAAGTATCTTTTGTTTAATTTTTATCAGAATCAACAATTTATTATATTTAATAATATAAAAAATTATAATAAACGATATTGATTTCAATAAAAGAAATATCATACAGTCCTACTCTCCGTCCCGTGGTATGAAGCTAAACATCTAGTTGTGTTTCCTCGCTGATTAATTATACTTAGTCTTTGGGCGAGAAAAGAACCAGCCGTGTTGTTACTAGCAGATTCAGTGGTGTATTGTGGTTTGAAAGGTATCATCATCATCAGCCTGAGGCATATGAAAAGCCTTATGATAACCTTCTCACGAAAACAAGTTGTATTGCGGACAATTTATCCGAAGACTTTTTTGTTTGTAGTTGTTCCAGGCGTTCAAGGTTTGGTGTAGCTACTTAGATTAGATTCTTCATCACAAAATAAATATTACAAATGATAATATAATTTCTTTAAAAAATCGTTATCGACAAATTAGAAATAAAAATATTAAAAAAATATTCTACTGTGCCGTGGCAGTTACAAAAAGCAGATTACAAACATAAATTGCACAAGAACAAATATTCAGATCCGGAATAATTATCTGTAGACCATACAAATACTAGTTGTTCCAGTAGGGATTCGAACCCAAGGCCTTCAGCTTTAGAACATTCAACCCAATCGTCTAAGCCTTAAGCGCCGTATCCCAAGCTAAACCATTGCACCACGGAGCCGTCCAATGTTCGGCATGAACTGTTAAAATATTACCGAAACATTTATTATATATGGTATGGCATGAAAGGTATTTAAAAAACATTCCAAATATACGAAATTTGTAGGTGGGTATAAGGTTTTCTCTAAAACTAACTCTCGTAAAACTAGATTGTACAACCAGTGCGTGTTGCCAGTGATGACTTATGGATCTGAGACGTGGTCCTTCACTGCTGGTCGTATGAGGACGCTCAAAGTCGCTCATCGAGCTAGGGAGAGGGCTATGCTCGAAGTTTCTCTGCGTGATAGACTCGGAAATGAGAATATCCGTAGTAAAACCAGAGTGACCGACGTAGCCCAACGGATTAGTAAGCTGAAGTGGCAATAGGCCGACCATATAGCTCGAAGAATCGATAACCGATGGGGAAGAAAGGTTCTCGAGTGGCAGCCTCGTACCGGTAGGCGTAGTGTAGGGCAACCCCCCACTAAATGGAGTGACGACCTGGTAAGATATGCAGGAAGTCGATGGATGCAGGTGGCTCAGGACCGTGCTTTGTGGCATTACTTGGGGGAGGCCTATGTTCAGCAGT